TAGTCACTTTGCTCACCATCTCATTGCCAGCACCTGGAGAGAGCCTGGCCTTGAGGGAGTGATGGAGAAGCATTTGTGAGGTGAACGCTTCAGCTGCAGTGGCCCTGGCAGAAGGTCAGGACGAACTGAGGGTCTTTGTGGGGGAGGCCTTGTGGTTGAGGTCGCAGGCAGAAAGACAACCTGTATGCATGGACTAGGCCACGAGGGGAGGTGGTCTGGGCAGTCAGCAGGATATATGGGGTAGGGCTGGTTTTGGGTCTGAACCCCAGAGAAGGTAGTGTGTGGGGGGTGAGGAAGGAGCCCTCTGTTTTTCTGGGGGTCCCCATGTGTGTGGCTGGAATAGGGATAACAGGACCTTTGAGTTAGAGCCTGGGCTCAGATTCCGTCTCTCGAACCTACCAGCAGTGTGACCTTCGGCAAGTAGCAGCACCTTTCCTTCTAGAACCTGGGTTTTAGAAAGTGGGGGTGGCAGCAGCTCCTTCGCTGGAAGAAAACTGCCGGCCCAGGATCTGGTAGATACATTATTTCCTAGAACATGCAATTTACTTTGATTTTTTTTCCCCCCTACCAAAGGAAGAATAAATCTGTTTCCTGCCCACATGGTACCTTTCTGTCCGTTTACCACAGGACACAAGGATGAAATACTTTCCTGCCTACGTGGCTTCTTATGGGACCTCCCTCATTCCATGCCTGACGGCATAGAGCACAAGTGGCTTCCTTCCTTGCTTTGTATCTGCGCTAGATGGTCAGCGTGGTGAGATAGGATGTCAGCAGCTTGAAGGACCGAGCTGCAGGAATAAGACAGGGTGGGGTGGGGGAGGCTGAAGTCAGTAGGTCAGAGCTCTCAGATAAAGAGGAAGCAGAAGAGTGTCACTCCGCCGGCTGCGGGGAGCAGAGGAAGGCCTGACGTCCAGAGATAAAGTAGCAGGAAGCCGGGGAGGCCTGGGCAGCTGTCCGTGTCCACTTGAAGACGCTGTCCATCCTGTCATTCGCTTTACAAGCAGGAGTGGGAGAGCTGGCCTGATTTCACTCCCCAAACCCAAACAAGGTGAGCTCACGTGTTCATTGTGAACTGCCAGTGTCCCCTGGACTCCGGAGACTGCTTTTGGCTTTCCTCCTTGGCGAGCTGTCTTGCAGGCTGGTCCTCTGCCTGCGTTCCCCCGTGGATCATGGAAGGGCTGACCACGCCATTAACTCTCACAACTCCTCTGCTCTTTGCAGCTAACATTTCTACAGTAGGTGCAACAAGGAGGCCACAGTGATGGACAGGACAGAGTGATGTTGCCTTTGGGGGTGGCTTTGTTCCGTGCCGGGGAGCAGGCTTACATTCACGTTGCTGGGACGTTGCATCCAGTCTGCTGTGAGTGCGCTTCGGTTGCTGTCCGACAAACCAGATCTTTGTTGCTTGGAAAGGTTTAGAGTCAGGTCAACCAGGGGACTTGGGACGGGTGGTCTAGAAGTAGACCTTGCGGTCACCAAATAGTGTAACCAATACCTGGCCATTGTTTGATATTTGACATTTTTCAGGAGCACTGTCCCCATCACTGTGTCTGAATTATGCCACTGCCAGAGCTCAGCAGAGGTCCGTGGAACCCATTTGTCCGTTTTTACGTGTGTTTGTTGAGGGCGTATTAAGTGCACTTTGTCAGTGGCTGGGGGGGGGGGGGTGTTCAGAGATGAATAAGACTGAATCTCTGTAAAAGGCACTTAGTAGGGGGAGGGACATGTGTACCCCAGTTACAAGGGGGTGAAGAGGAAGAGCGGGAGAGGGAAGCGCTGTGTGTGGAGCTACACTGGAAGTGATTCAACTCGACCGTCCTGCGTTGAACACTTGGGGAGTCCACAGTTAAGAGTCGGGCGCTCCCCTGAAGGCACTTCCAGCTCACTGGGCGAGGCAGACAGATGCCCAGGCAACCAGTAACCCGTCACAGCTCAGTAGGTGCCGTGTCTGGTGGCAAACATGCAGTGCCATCACTTTCACGTCCCCATGCTCCCACGGGCTGGACACCCTGGAGGCCCCGCCTGGCCTGCCCTTCTTCAGTGACCAGCCCTCGGGCTCCCAGCAGCTGCCAACACCACTGGTTTCTAGAGCGATGAGCCTGCTGAAACAAGCCTTAAAGACTTGTCATGACAGAACCCTGCCGTCTCCACGTTAGCTTCCCCGCCAACTGGCGCAGCTCCCAGTGTTCCGCTAAGGAAAGCGTTTTGCCCAGAATTTATGTATTTCCTGACTTAAGAGCAGCCTAAGTTGTATATGAAATTATGAGACAAAAGAAATGCTGATGCCTCTGAATTCCTTGACATTTTCCATTTCATAGTGACGGGCCACTCTATTCACTTTCCTGCTTGCTAGGTACAGAAATACCAGCTACCCAATAGCCTCATCCTGTGGACACACACGCGTGCACGCAGGGAGACGCACACAGGCAGTTTCATAGTGATTAAAGAGAAGATGGGAGGGAAGGGCATTGGGGAGCTTTCTGGGGTGTTGGCTTGAGTTTGTCATTGGCCAAAACTCATTGGATGGTAGACTTCTAATTTGTGTATTTCACTGTTTTTGAATTTTATCTTAAAAAAAAATAACGGTAAGCAAATAATGAACTCTAGTTAGTGATTTGCAGGCAGAAGTGTTCAGGCTAAAGTGGACTGCTGTCTGCAGCATACTTTGAAACACATAAAAAATAAGATGGATTGTTGGATTGATTGCAGGCTGGGTAGCAAAATGTTAACAGTTGTAGAATTGGGGTGGTGGACATATGGGTGGGTGTTCCCTGTAGGATTCTTTCAACTTTTCTGCATGTTTGAAAATTTTCGTAATAAAATGTTGAAACCGAAGAACTACGCATTGGATTCTCTGGAGCTTTCCATAAACAAACTCCCCGACAGCCAGTCTCCTTGGCTAACACTGTACAGTTCCTACAGACAGCCTCACCTGCTGCCTCAGGGAGCGGCTAGAATCAGCGGTTCTCAACCTGTGGGTCGTGACCCCTTTGGGGGTCAAACGACCCTTTCACAGGGGTCACCTAAGATCATCGGAAAACAAAAGGATATTTACATTACGATTCATAACAGTAGCAAAATTACAGTTATAGAGTAGCAACGAAAATAATTTTATGGTTGGGGGTCACCACAACGTGAGGAACAGTATTCAGGGGTCGCGGCATTAGGAAGGTTGAGAACCGCTGGGCTAGATGAAGCGGCTAACGGGCCCTCGACTCAGTGTGTTCTCTGTGTACCTGTTCTGGTTGGTGTGGTTGGTTTTGGGACTTTTCATGAAGGATGTGTTAACTAGACTTCCGCTGAAGGTGATAAAGTTTATCAACTGGGGATGACCGGAACTCTGACACCCAGGGCTTTCCGTCGTGTAGGCAGAAGGCTGGGGATTTGCAGCCTGAGAGGGGCCTGACAGATGGGAACTAGTTAGAAAAGGATGTCTGAACCCCCGCTGACCAAGGATACAAGTTGGTTATGCTGCTGGATGCCGAAGGAGCGCTTTTTGTATGTGTGTGTGTATACATAATTGATTCTTCAAAAATTTTAACATGCCATATAGTTAAACATAGTCACACTTTTTTGAGACTAGACTTTTTTTCTTTAGTTATAAAATAATGCCTGCTTTAATAAGAATTTTTTTTAATACCGAAAATGCAAAGAAATAAAACCATCCCTAATTTCACAACCGAAAGAAACCACCGTTTACATGTTGGTATATTTCCTCCCTGAACCTTTTTTGATCTCCTGCGTTATTTACGTGATTGTGATGTTTTTCCTTTGACCGTCATGGGGAGCTCTATAGAAGACTCCAAGGCCTCCTGTCTGTGGCCCGGCCCAGAGCCTGGGCTGTTGTAGCTGAGATGGTCCACATAGAGACCTCTGGCTTCTTCATTCCCAGGGTGAGACCCCGGGAGGCCCGGGGCTTCTCAGAGAGCTCACTTCATGTTGCAGGAACCTCTTGCTGAGTGCGGTCACATTAGCCTCATCCTTATTATTTATGTGTCTGTTTATGGAGCATTTGCCAAATGAAGGGGCCCAGTGCTAAGCACTGTTCATGGGTTCTCGCACAGTAATCCCCAAAAGGGGCTACTGTTACCTCGCTGTATAGATAAAATGCTAGTAAATTGTGGCGTTACGCTTCAAGACCAGGCCTTCCGGTAGGCATGTGGTAGTTGAGGCAACTCTCCAGAGCTTTTTGGTTTCCAAAGCAGCCTGTACTGCTGTAAGGCAGGTGAACTAACCCCTTTTTTCTAATTAAGAACTGATGCTCAGAGAACTTAGCAGGTTAACTCAAGCCACGTGGGAAGGGAGTGGGTGGGAGGCTCCAGGTTAGAGCCTGGCTCGTTAGCGTCTGGTTCACCATGTTGCCTCAGAGCCAGAGGGCTGGAGGGATGGCAGAAGGCCTGAAGGGCTTGAAGGGACAGAAGGTGGGTGCAGGGTGCCACGCAGGGAAGTGCATGAGCAAGGCTAAGAGCTGAGATGGGGGTGGGGAGCGTGTTTGGAGGTGAGGGGCCAGGTAATGGGGAGAGGGCAGGGGAGAGCACCAGCTTTGCAGTCTGACAGGCCTGGGCTTGGGGCTTGATACGTTTGTAAAAAGTGGGGATAGTAAATCCTAATTGATGGTTCCTACCGAGAATTAAATGAAATCATTTAGGTGAAATTTCCCGACCTGCGTGCTTGGCATATTATAATCATGGTGCGGTATTTTGGATGTTGCCTTATAAACAGTGGGAGCCTTTGGGCAAGGGAGTGGATGGACAAAGCAGGGGACAGCGCAGGGCAGGGAGTGGGGGCCTGAAGCCCAGCCCAGTGGCTGATTCCTGCGGTTGGAAGGACTGATGGTTGAAAGGCTGGTGGGGGAGAGAGCATGAGAGAAAGACCTTTCAAAGGAGTAACCCATAGGATTTGGAGAAGAGCTGGCTATGCGGACGGATGGGTATCTGGCTTTTTATGATTCTGTTTACACTGTTCCCTTCTGACTCACTGCTGTGTTCTTGACTTTGCAGGAGCCTGTGTGAAATGCAGCAAAGGTGTGTTTGGAGCCGGCCAGGCCTGCCAGGCCATGGGGAACCTCTACCACGATGCCTGTTTCACCTGTGCAGCCTGCAGTAAGTGTAGGGGGCTAGGGATCGTGGGGTCCGAGAAAGGGAGGAGAGGGCAGAGCATCCATCCTGGAGACACTCGGCCCTCGGCCCTCCATGACCCACAGAAAGGCCGGACAGTGTCATCTAGAGCAAAAGGCTTCGTGCCGCCAACACGAGGCCCGTCAGGGTAAGGTGATTGATCACAGAGTACCAGGGATCGCCTGGGATGGGCTTCGGTGGTAAGTTGAGTGGATTCACAGTGATCCCTAATAACATCAGGTTTGTGATGCCTGTCAGGTGTCAGGAGAGTTGCGTGGGGGGAGCTCGGGTTTGCCAACGTTTGCCTGTTGTCACTTATCTCCCACACTGTGGGGACCAGCCAACCAAAAGGTGACGTCAGTCCATTACCCCAGCCCAGGGTGAGGTGGGGCCCCTTTGTGTCTCTTTGACCCCGGTCTTCGATTTGGAGGCTGCTGCACGAGTTTAAAGTGTGCGTGTGTGCATGAATGCCTGTGCGTGCACCCTGCACAGGTGTTGGTGCCTATGAGCACACACACCCGTGGGCATCTTGGTACTCTGGTACGTGCATTGTGATGAAAGCAGCAAATCAGGAGACCAGGCCTGTGCTCAGCTCAGCACACTGCTCACTGAATCGATGGCACCCACAGATTCTAACACAATGTAGGACGTTTGACCAGGTCATGAATTGTGCTCGTTTTATGGTGTCTACCAAAGATCAATTTTGAGGAGCATTTCTGGAAAATGTCCCACTGATGTTCTCCAGTTCTATACCAAGGCTAGCCGCTGTCAAATAAAAGGAGACATTGCAACAAAGCCAAGTGTCGGGGACGAAGGGGTCTTATCTGGCCCTGTGGTTCTCCATCCTGGCTGCTCATGAGAATCGCTGGGGGGGATTTTAAAAACCATTGCTGTCCCAGCCCCACCCTGACCAGCAGAATCAGACGCCCTGGGATAGAATGTCTAGTGTGGGGCAGGTGTACTGTTCAGAGCTCCTTCAGTGACTTCAGGGGGTGGCCAGGGCTGAGACCTTGGACTAGTGCCAGGCTCATTTTAGAAGCGTCTGGAGAAGGTAAAGGGAGGGACTTGCTCTCAGTTGGCCTGTGGCGCAGCCCTTGAGGTCCTCTTGGCTCCTAGTCTAAAGTGACCCAGGTGGGCCTGCGCCTGCGCCTGCCTCCTCACCTTCCAAGGCATACGCCCGGCCGGGTTCTAAACCTCATGCTTCAGTCCTCACTGCGTTTTATGTTTCCCATAAAACACGTGCCTGAGGGTTTACGGTTCAAGGGATGATCAGTATTCGCCTCTGTAGGGAAAAATTGTTGAAGACTTAGAAAGGGATCAGAAAGTCTTCGAGCGTCCTCAGTGGAAAGGCAGTTGTCTCGTTACTGGATTGTCTGGGTCGCGGGACCTTGCCTTGTCTCTGAGTCTTGCTACACTCTGCACGTGGCTCTCGTCCATGACAACACAAACTGTCTGGTGGAGATTGACCCCTGTGGCTTTGCGTCTTTTTGTTTAGTTCATTTCAGCATGTCTGATGGCCTGCCCTTGTGTGGTTCTTTGCAGTCTCCCGGTGGTAACATCTTATTGGTTCCCTCATTCATTGATGAGTTAAATAAAATCTTTGACACGTGATCATACATACCTTCTTTAAAAATGTATCTTTGACTTTTGGCTCCTGCAACTGTTTCTGAATATTTGCTCTATTCCAGGAAAAAAAGGAAATATTAAATAGGAGCTGTTTTTCTTCTCAAGCAATTATCATTTGAACTCAGAAAGTTGTTGGGCAAAAAAAAACCCAACAACCAAAAAAGAAACCATTGATGGATGAGTCAGTTGCTTCCTCCTGTGGCTGCTTGACTAGCTGTCAATTCCTTAATGGGTTGAGTTTACCGTAGTTCCCCATGTATAAGACGCACCCTTTTCCGAAAAATTTGGGGTCTACAAACTGGGTGTGTCTTATACAGTGGTTGTATGAGCGCAAAAATAAGTGCGAAAAAAAATCAGGAAATGCAAGTAAACAAAACCCCTACAACCACTGTATAAGACACACCCCGTTTTTAGACCCCAAATTTTTCAAAAAAGGGTGCATCTTATACATGGGGAAATACTTGCATCAAATTATGACAAGCACGAAGGCTTAAGGAAGACAGCTGGTTTGGGTCTGTGCTTGGTCTAGCATTTAAGGCCCTTGTGGTCTAGGCTGCATTATTACTTCCTACTGACTTATCACAGCCAAGCTGAATTCCCCTTTTCCGCCTTCATGTGTCTGATTCCAGTAGAAGCTTCTCTCTCCGCTCACTTCATCCATTTAAATTCTGTCCAGCCTTTGAGACCCAGATGAAACACCGCCTCTTCCAGGAAGCCTTCCCTGGTCCTATCGTAGGAAGGAACCGTTTCTCCTGAATCTGGCATGCCCCGCTTTCTTCTTGGTGCGCTCACGTAGGCTCTGAACACCACTCTGGGACTCCGGTGCCAGCAGACTGGGCCCTTAGATTAGCAATACCGAGGGAGTGAGGACGGGGCCCCCATCAGAAAGTGAGTGGCGGTGTTGCTGTTTGCCAAGGGGCCTGCACACGCTCCTGCTGGGTGTAAGCACTCAGTTCCTGCCCGCTGGTAGGAGCAGTTGGAGACCCAGGCATGTGCCTGAGCAGCTTCTCTTGGACACTAGAAGTCATTTCCTTTGTTCGGTTGACTTACTGCTGCCCCGTGACTGCTTTCGGCAGAAGGAGGCGCCGGGCGCTCCGTGACAACCACAAAGAAAAATTGAAAGGCGGAAACGTGTTATGTTATTCTAGCACAGGTATTTTCCCTTGTATGGATTCCCTTCTATGTTTTGTCCAAATTTATACAGACTTGTCCAAAGTTTCTCCAAAATTTTTAGAGCTGTAATCATAGCATAAAAACAGTATCGTATCCTTTTGGATTTAACATTTTGTCATAAATTCATCCCCGTCTCTGCAGTCTTCATCATAATCATTTTAACGGTTACATAGTAACCGACTGAGTTGTTTCCTGGTTTTATGGCATCAAGCTTGTTTCTGGTGATCACACACAGCCCCGGGGATTGTCTTTGTGCATATGTTTTTTTTTCTCTCTCTCTGCTGAATTGTTTCCTTGGTGTTCGTTCCCAGAAGTATGCTTCAGGGTGAGTGTGTGGGTGTTTCTGTGGTTTGTTAAAGTTCTTTCTTTCTTGACATGCTCCTGGGAGGGCGGGGGAGTGTGTTTGGTTGCCATGGAGATGTGTGCGGTGTCTCCCTTCTCCCCCTGCAGGTTCTGTCCACCCGAAGTGGCCATGCCCCCATCTGGGCTCTTTCAGGAAGCCGTGGGCACACCGTGGGGTGGGAGGGAGGGTCAGTGGAGAGGCCAGGCATGACCCCGGCTGGCAGCCACAAACTGTGTCTGGACCCTGTGTGTCAAGTGGCCTGTCTGAGGAGAAGCTGGCGCCTGTCTGTGGCTTGAGAGAGGTGGTGGAATGAGAAGGAAGAAAAAGTGTCCTGGACTTGTGGGGTCAAGTGCAGTTCTCCTTGGCACCTTCCAGAATAGACTGTGGGGAGAGAGAAGGCAAGGCTCTGTGTTCACACTCCAGGCAGTTTCAGGTCCCAAAAGAAAGATTTTGTTCATTTCATAAAAATGAACCAAATTCTACCCTTGAGTCAAGGCGAAACCTGTTTGTCGCGTCATGGCTTGCTCACGGCTGCTATTATTTTTCATCTGTATGAGACGGAAAATGATGGACTAGGTTGGCGATTCCATCTGCTGTCATCCCCTGAAGCTTATAGAACACAAAGGTGCCCAGGTCCTGGGGGTGGGGATTGGGCTGCGGGCAGTCCGAGGCCAGTGGGAATTGAGCCCAGGGGTGGCCTGAGCTCAGAGGAAGAAGACCACCGAGGGCCAGACGAGGTCCACTCAGGGAACAGTGCTGGGATGTGCACGTCGAGGTCAGAACAGATGACTCTCAGTGCCGTACCCTAGTGCTTAATTCCTGGGTGGGGTGCACTGTGACCTGCCAGCTGTACCTTAGGGAACAAAACACAACAAAACTAAGAAATTTATGCCTTATCCCACCTTCCAAAAACCAAACACCCATGCCTGTTAAAAACTGAATGGGGTTTATAGTGAAATCTTACACGCTCAGACCCAATTAGGAGAAAGCCTGTCTATGTCAATGGAAAGCCTGCATCTATTGTAGAACACGAAAAAAAGTGCCATTTCATTACTTCACGTAAATAAAACAACTAGAATTTAGCCCAGTGTTGTGGAACAGAGATTCTCAGTCAGTGATTGGTGGTTTACCACCTAGTAAGTTCGGAAGAACAGAGGGTTCTTGTCAGCTATTTTGTTTTTCTTACTAAGTCTGAACACTTCCTCTGACATCCCGTGTACCTTTATCATTGACTTTGTAGACTACCTCGCCCACCCAGGCTTTGAAACTGCTCACAGATTCTGAAATAGTGGGACCTGAGCTAGGGAGGGAGGTCTTCCTTTAATTCAGGGGACACCTGCCTCCTTAAAACAGTCATCACAACGCTTCTAAGTACAGCGACTCCTCACTTAACATCACCGACAGGATCTGTGACTTCACGCGAGATGATAAATAACGAAACCAATTGTACCGTAGGCTATTTGATAGAAACAAGAGTTAAGTTCCTACAGCATCTCCTCAACGTTATAAGGAAACGACGATATTCGAGGGCCTGCTGGAGTTCATAGGTGAGCTTTCTAGCTTACTGTCAGCCTGGCCCACCCGAGCCCTCTACCCGTGGTAGCTCACTAAATCCTGTAGTAATCCAGTAACGTCAGCATTATTATCACCCGCACTTTACAGATGGGCAGACAGTGGCTTGGAGAGCTTAGTTTGCTTGTGGTTGGTTACATTGCTGTTAAGTCCCTCGTGGGCACTTGAGCCCAGGACCGTGTGGACCCCCAGCCCTTGCTGTCAGCCCCTATATTAAGTTACCTTTGCTTAGAGAGTTTGCATGCTAAGGAAAGGAAGCTGGCTCTGGACA